GGGTGGCTGAGAGATGGTGTATATATCTACATGATTAGCTTTTTTATAATGGGTAAGGCTTGATCCTCAGACATAAAGAGTTTATTGTCAGTTGGGAAATTTTTTTTTGTGGAAGTTTGTGATTATATCATGAAAACAGTGTTCTAAGTTTCCATGTGTATAGAATATGCAAAGATGATGAGTGTAATATTAGTAGTACGAAACTGAGAATCTCTAAAGATGTTCCAGAGAAATTAAAGTGTGTTCACCACGGTGTGGTTTATTAGCTCAGCATTTGAGAATGTTTTGCTTTTCATATTTAGGCTGGGGGTATGTCTAACACTACCTAAATATCAGCAAGTTTTAGGGAAATATGTTCTTGAAGCACCTAAGCTGAGAGGGGGAGAGATTCTGTTTTGTGAGGAGCTTGTCTGTTGAAGTTGGAGGAATCTGCCTCACTCTTCAGTAAATCATAGCCACATCTAGCCAGCTCTGATTGTGCCCAGTCTCTGAAGGCCCAGGGGAAATGGCGTGGACGAAGCCCATGACTGTTGGTATTTGGAATCTAGGGAAGAAGTAACTAGAGATTGGGACTGACAGTGTCAAAAGACAGCTTTCAAAATGGAGGAAGTGCTGCTTTTCTGCTGTTCTCATGGCGTGCTGATACGTTGTCACTCAAGGTTCACGGCTGCAGTGAAGCTAAGCCTGAAGTTGTTCTATACATGTTTGGTCCATGCTGGTTCCTCCCATGATGAGTAATTGATGGTGTATGCATCGGGAGACAACATGTATCACTGCTCCGTCATGTGTATAGCTCAATGGTTAGGAACCATTCGCTGTACTGTGACACCTGGTCCTTAGTCTGTAACTACTATGTACTTGGTGATTTTTTTTTTTCAGGTAGGTTACAATCAGAATTGGAGAGATGATGAGTCATTTTTGTTTCAGTTCATTGTCCCCCACAGACCATTTTATATACATTATGTGATTATATCAACCAGGAGTTTGGAATTCAGGATAGCGCTGGAGTATGAACTGTGGAACCACATCCCCTTCCCCCCGTGTTAATAAAACAGCTGATCTAAATCCCTCTTGTGTTTCAGCAAAACACCCGAGGGTTAATCAGTAGCATAGTCATGTGCAAGGAAAGCCCAGGCTTCCCCTCATCTCTTGACAGGGCATCTAAGAGTCTGCCAGTGTCACCCATAGTAGCCACTGGCTGCCGGTGGCTGTTTAAGTCTACCTTAAGATAATTGCAGTTTCCCAGCAGCATGTTTGGAGTGTGAGGTAGTCATTGTTTGTATCACACTTCCATCACAGGAAGTTATGTTGGGCATACTGTTCATCTCCTAAAGCAAGGGTGGGGGAGAATAAATCTCCTTAGATAAATTGAAAAGAGCCATCTATGTGCCTAGCTAGTAGGAGAAAGGAGTACAGAGCCCTCCCCACTGGCTCCTCCAAAGTGATGAGTGCTCAGTGCTATTTTAGCTCTGAAGGGAGGGAAGAAAGAAACATTTCACACTGTATAATCCATGCGTGTTTTAGTCTTTGAGAAAACAGACCTGGAAAGAACATCAGGCAGTTTCAACTGAATGAATGTGTTCTTAAGCTGGCCCCGTACTACGGCTTTCCACACACAGCGGAATTTCTAAAAAGAATCTGTGGTTAGAGCTATTGGAGATGACTCAAGGAAGGGCCTTGGGCATGAGCTAGAATAAGAAACAGGAATAAGGGGTGGGAGCAGGAGGGCTTTGGGTAGAGCTAGGGCAGGAACCCAGTTAGAGTTACTCTTGAGTGGGGTGTGGTGGCTCACTCTAATTATCATAGCCTTGGGGGGGGGCAAGGCATGAAGATTGACATAGGTTCAAGTGTAGGCTGCGTAACATAGTTTAGTTCCAGACCATCCTGTACTATGAAGTGAGACCCTGTCTTGGATAATCAAAACCAAATAAAATCTTACTTGGTAATGGAGGACTAAGGGTATGCACGTCGCTAGAATCAAAGCCATCATAAAGCCCTGTTGCCAAGATACTGGCTGAGGGACACCAGTGTGCCCCCCCCTGCTTCAGACGAGTCCGGAATCTTTAGGCCTAAGCACAGAAGTCAGCTGGCTAGGTTCCAAGCAGATAGAACAAGGCAACAACAAGCATATCCCCTGTGTAGTGACCTCTGCCCAGACACTAAAGCCATCTGGGGCAGGAAAAAACACAAGATTCTTGCAATAATGTGTGCACGTACTGTGTATTGCTATAGTTAAAGGCAGTTCAGCCAGTGCTCACATGCCACCGAGGCTTCTGATTTGAGGGTACCTTAAAAGAGAAGTGAAAATTAGTGTTTACCAATAAATGGCAACTCTAAAGACTTAGAGCAATAAACAAAAGACTACAGGCAGCTGAGCTTTAAAGACTTGCCCTAAAGGCCAATCTGTGCACAGCAGCTACTCACATGTATTTACCATAAGCCTTGGTGCACTTGGGAGAGCAGTTCAGAGTGGTTTGCCTTTTGAAGTATTTGTGTATAACATAATGAGATATCCTGTGGGTGGGATTTAAGCCTAAGCATGGAATTTAGTCACGTTTCAGTTTCATACCCACCTCATACAATAGCTTGAGGTAATTTTGTGAGTGTTTTCAAATTATTGGTATCTTGACTTGTGACTGGTCCTATAGAGTTCAGGTATGAAATTTTCCTCTTGTACTATTAGAAATTGACTCAGAAAATTTCAGTTGCTGGAGCACGGAAGCTTTTCAGATTTGGGCTCTTCAACCTGTACTCTAAATGCGTAAAAGTACTGCCCCATGCGAAGTTAGCCTCCCCCTCCCTGAAAATGACTCCGTTGAACAGTGAGTGGTCTGCTCTGTTGTTTACGATGTTACCTTAGATACTTGAGGCAGCTCAGCCTATGGCCAGAGGAGGAGATCCAGGGTTTCTGGGATGCTGACTGGGCGACAAGGGTGATAAGGATTGGGATTAGGGACAGAACAAGCTGGAGGAGACAAAAGTCCCATTTCCTATCATGGGTAACTGAGGAATGTGGGATGATTTTGTAGAGCCATGGCCCCAGCCCCCCTTGGGACCCCACCAGTCTTGTTTACCATAAGAACATTTTTCTCTCTCTCTCTCCTCCACGTCAGTGCAACTGGGGCTCTCTTTCCTCATATTTTGTTTGGGTCTGCCCTTGTGCATAGTGATCTCGCAAACAAATTCACCGAGACGTATACAAATGATTTCTTCTCATCCCCTGAGCGTTTGAACAGGTGTTGTCCACAACTTCCCTTATGCTCACAGTGCACAAAGAGGGCAGGCTCATGGTTTGAATAAAAAAAAAAGGGTGGTCATTGTGAACCAGTGACACACGATGACAATGAAGAGGGAGGCTTGCTTTTTTGTTTTTTGGTGTCCCCCCCCCCCCCCGAATCAATCAACCCAGTCTCACACTGAGCCGAAACCATGAAGCCGATGGCCGTGATCTATGAACATAGCAGCCTTTATTAGGAGGGGAGAATGTTTCATCAGCCATTGGAACACAGGGGCAGATGAAGGACCTCGGGAAGGAAGAGAGGAGGATGGGGAGCTGGACCCGTTTGAACCATTTTAAAGAAACACGCTGATTGTGGGTCATTGGCTCCAAAGCGGTGGTGGTGGCGGATACAGTTTTCCAATAGCTGGTGTGAGAAAACTGTTCCTCTTATCTCCACAGACGGCCATTCAGGACGCCGAACTATTGTGATGAAAATCTCCTTCCTGCCCTGGATCTCTCCTGTGTCTCACACTCTGCTTGGCCGCACTGCCGCCTCTACTACCCTTTTCTGGAGTCCGGCTGTAGCGACTCCCTACCTTCTCTCTGTCTGTGCTTTAAATGGCACAGCATTTGCTCATCACATCTGAAAAAGAAGGTGTGAAGAGCAAAGGCCATGGCTCCGTTCCGCTGTCAGTCCTGTGGCAAGTCCTTCCTCACCCTGGAGAAGTTCACCATCCACAGTTATTCGCACACCAGGGAGCGGCCGTTCACGTGCACGAAGGCTGAGTGTGGCAAAGCCTTCGTCTCTAAATATAAATTGATGAGGTGAGAGGCTTGATGAAGGTGTGCGCTTCTACTCGGACCCTTGAGTGTCTCTTCGGGCCTTCAGGGCTCTCACTGAAGGGGATGAGAAGGCAGGGTGTGGGTACGTTTTAGCCTTTCAGGGACTCTTTAAAGTAGCCGTATCTCCAGTGATCACTATGACACCTGAACAAGATGAGCTCACTTGGGTATCCAGACTTCGTACATGGGCGTGTGCTCAGACTTTCAGAGGACCTACCATATGCCAGGCCAGTGGTTTGCAAAGAGAGTTGGCATATAGTATGCATTATTTCTCTAATGTCAATTAGGTACTCCCTGCTATGAGGTAAGTGGTACCCAAGATGTATATTCTGCCCACAATGGTTTTGGGAATGCCACAGGAAAGACAAACTATGCAATCAGAACATAGTCTGACAGTGAGTGCTGTCAGTATCCTACTTCTCTTGATATTGCTTGTGTTTAATCTTCATGAAATGAACCTCCAAGCTTCAGCTTGCTGGCAACTCACATATAAATGCATAGGTGAGAGAATTAGCAACCTGGCTTCCAATCTGAGTGGTAGCAGCATTGCATTATCATTCCGTCTTGGAGTACTCTGAAGGAAGGCACTTAAAAGAGGTAGAAGGAAGATATAAATTATGCTCCTGGGCTTAAGAACATCACTATCACTGATAATGTAATATAAGTTGATGTTTAAAATGAGACTGAAAATGCTTCTGTATTTTAAAATTCAAATATCTTTTGTTCTAGGGCCATTCTCTAGTTGTCATAGTAACCATATCAAGTGGCTACCATGTGCAATGATTCTGTGTCAAGGGCTCCCCGTTCAGCATCAGATTCATTTTGCATACACGTAGGCACCATTACTTGAACCCAGAGGGTAGCCTTAGCTTCACTGGGACCACCCCAGGGTTCTATGGGAGACCCGGGAAGGAAAAAAGACAGTAGAGCAAATGGATTATTGCAATAAATGGAATTAGTTAGAAATACCCTGGTAAGAGGAACTGGTGTCTTACACACTGTTGGAGAGGTGGTGGTTCAGGAGAAGTGACTTGTTCCGTCAAGGTGGAAAGTAGGGCAAAGCCGGAAGCAGGGTATGGTTATCCTGCCCCAGCTCTTCCGGCCTCCCTGGCCAGAGTCCATGCTCTTTTAAGGCATTGGAAAGTGGCGAGATGGCAGGATGCTTAGGTTTGTCTTAAAGGCGATAGGGCAGCATTCCATCCAGTTTCCAACCATCACAACCTATTTTGTAAGCAGAGATCGAAGAATTAAAAAAATAGCTGACTTGCTTAACCAGAAAGAGAAGGTGGGTCCCAGTACCATAAACAGCTGGCTGCTAAGAAGAGACAGCCACGGACCAGAAAAGCTGATTTGGTGGGGCAGGCTGACCTCTAAGGAAGTCTGACTGTGAATGAGCACCATGAAGACTTCTGAGTCTTGACGTGACCTACCTGCTGTGCAAAAGGTGGTGCATTTGTGCGAGCCACAGGACGTACTGAAGCCTGTAGTTCATGCATTGTGAGATAAGAGAAGGGAAGGGAAGGCACCATCGTGAGATCACTTCCACTTGCGTAAGGAAGTAAGGTGAAGAATAAATGTCAATGGGAAGATTGGATGCCAGGCAGGAGAAAGAGTCAACTCTTTAGCCACAGGAGCAAATGAGAACTGTTCAAGTACTGCTGCCAAGCTGTGTCCCACTCAGAGATAGCACAGAAATGGGTAGGAAACCCCAGGTTAAGTTACTATCCACATTTGACCATGGGTGAGAGATGATTAAATCCCCTACAAAGGATGGGCGGGAAAGGCAACCATTGAAAACCCTGAACAGAACTTTGGGGTCCAGCTCATTAATACCAAGTCAAATAGAAAATGATTTAAATACCAAGTTTGCAAGCCAGTCCTGCCTTTATATTCATCCCTGTTAGGCATAAGTCGACATCGTATGGGATGACATGGCCATCTGATGCAGTTCAAATCCCCTTTCTGCAGCTGAGCTGTTGAATATATTTAAGTACATCAGGAACATGCAAACTACTATGTATTTCAGATATCCCAAATGACTATTATGTTGGATCTTACCCTTCAGCAATGTCCCCTGCCTTATATAACAGGAAAACAACCTGTCAATACTTCTTACAGGTATAAAGTTGAATCTGGCACTTAGTAATTCTTGCCCTTTTAAATGATAAAACGTATGCATTTGGAAAATACAGCCAAGTAGTTGCTAAGTGAAAATGCCACGAAGACCTTGGGAAAATAACTAGTCACACATCTTGACTGTGTTCTCTCCATGCCTTCGTTCATAAACTAATTCTGTGGCGAACTCTTTCTCCCCTCCCCCTTTTCTGCTTCCAGACACATGGCCACACACTCACCCCAGAAGAACCACCAGTGTGCTCACTGCGAGAAGTCGTTCAACCGCAAGGACCACCTGAAGAACCACCTGCAGACCCACGATCCCAACAAGATCTCCTACATTTGCCAGGATTGCCGCAGAAAGTACCACACCATGCTGGGCTACAAGAGGCACATGGCCCTGCATTCCGCCAGCGGTGGGGGTCTCATCTGCAAGGTCTGCTCTGCCGAGCTGGGGAGCACCGAGGTCCTGCTGACCCACCTCAAGGCCCACCGGGAAGAGAAGTCCCACCATGCGACCAGAGAGAAGAAACACCAGTGCGACCATTGTGAGAGATGCTTCTACACCCGGAAGGATGTGCGTCGTCACCTGGTGGTCCACACAGGATGCAAGGACTTCCTGTGTCAGTTCTGTGCCCAGCGATTTGGGCGCAAAGACCACCTCACTCGTCACACCAAGAAGACACACTCCCAGGAGCTGATGCAAGAGAGCATGCAGGCAGGGGAATACATGGGTACCTTCCCTCCCATTGCGCCGTCCTTCCAGCTGAAGGCTACTGCCATGCCTCCTTTCCAGCTAGGGGTGCCCGTGCAGAACGGGCTTGCAGGTGGCTTGCCACCCGAGGTTCATGGTCTAGTGCTTGCTCCCCCAGAACAGGTCCCCCAGCCTATGCCGCCGCCAATGGCAGAGCAGCTTGTTACTCTGCACCCTGGGGTAGTTCCCACCTCTCCTCCACACACCCTTCAGGAGCCTAAGTACAGTCCTCCTTCTACCTCATTTGCCCCACTTGCTGGCCTGCCGATTAAATCAGAGGCCAAAGGCTTTTGCAACATGGGTTTCTTTGAGGAATTGCCTCTGCAAGAGCCTCAGTCGCCTCTCAAACTCAGCCCATGTTTTGAGATGGCTAAGGAGGGCCTTGGGAAAGTCACCATGCCCAAGGAGCTGCTGGTAGATGCTGTGAATATAACGATCCCTGCCTCTCTGGAGATTTCCTCTCTGTTGGGGTTTTGGCAAATCCCCCCTCCTCCCCCCCAGAATGGTTTTGTGACTAACACCATCCCTATGGGGCCCGGGGAACCAATGCCCCACACGATCACATGTCTGGCGCAGCAGCATGTAGCACCGCTGCCGCCTCCACCCCCGCTGCTGCCGCCGCAGCAGCCGCAGCCGCAGATGCAGCCACCACCACCGCCGCCGCAGCAGCAGCAGCCACAGCAGCAGCAGCCACACGCGCAGCTGCAGGTTCAGCTGCAGCCTGAGCCGCTGCAGCCACTGCAGCCACTGCAGCTGCAGCCACCATTGCTGCCCCCGCAGCTGCCCCCGCAGCTGCCCCCGCAGCCGCCACAACCACAGCCACCTCCGCTGCAGCTGCAGCCGCAGCCGCAGCCACTGCCGCAGCCAGAGCCGCTGCCGCAGCCGATGCCACAGCCGCTGCTGCCACAGCCACTGCCACAAGAAGCCCAAATAGCAGTGAGCGCTGTGAATCTGGGCCAGCTCCCGCTGCCCCCTATCCCTCACGTTTTTACAACTGGCACCAACACCGCCATCCTGCCCCATTTCCACCACGCTTTCAGATAAATTGATTCTTAGGAAGGCGTTTAGCTTGCGGAAGATGCTTTAAGCATCAGTTACAGTTGGAAACATCAGTTACAGTTTGGGAGGAGGAAGCTTTGGAAAACAGGATTGGGGCTTTAGCTTATTCGCGATTTACTAGCTTGAGAGAAAGAATTCTCTAACTGCATGCATTGTGCCAATATATATCCTTAGTGTTGACGCTTTGTACCAAATTTAGTGAGCGCGTGCGTATTCTGTAGTTGAACTGCAAATATTATCGTATTATTATCATATTATTATCCTCATATTATATCCTCATTTTATTCGCATTTAATCACAACCAAGATCCAAAACGACAGCTGCTATTTTGTAAATGGTTTATCGTGTTGAATTTTATTGTAATGATGTTGACTAAGTAACTTTGTGTGTAGCACCGCCTAGGAAGGACATGATGGAAAGGCTTGGATTTCTCCAACTTGGAAGATGTTTTTAAGAGAAGAGGGTAATCTTTGTATGGCATTTAGAACTAGGTGGTATGTTGTGTCTTTTCTTTTCTTTTCTTTTCAGGGACTCGCCTGCCTTCAGGGTTGGATGTAGTTTAGTTCCTCTTCTTGTAGCCTACTTTGTAGTTTATAGGAAAAGTTCCTTGTGAAGCTATTGATTTCTTCATTTTTAAAGTGAATTTTTAGTGTAGTCCTCAATATTTTTCATGTGATGTTGTTGCAATGTGAGTTATGACTTCATTTATCTTAGAGACAAAACTAGTTGTCAGTGAGATCTGAGAGAAAAAAATCACTGTGTAACCAAGTTAAGTAGTAAAATACTGGAGGCATTAGTCAGAAGTGTCTCCCCGACTCTCATGCTCATGTCTTTAACAGGAATTTAAGACAATATACTGGAATTAGAAAAATAAGTGTATTAGTGTATTAGATAAGAATTTTCTTTGTCTATCTTAATGCGGTACTCAACGCTGCTAAAAGTCCCGTTAGTACTGTTTGTAGTCACCCAATTGAAAAATGTATCTGTAGTAGATTAGTTTAAGTCGTTAGTTTGTATCCTGAGGATTGTGTTTGTAATCACCCATTTGAAAAATGTATCTGTAGTAGTTGATTAGTTTAAGTTGTTAGTTTGTATCCTGAGGATTGTGTTTGTAGTCACCCAATAGAAAAATGTATCTGTAGTAGTTGATGAGTTTAAGTTGTTAGTTTGTATCCCGGTGATTGTGTTTGTAATCACCCAATAGAAAAATGTATCTGTAGTTGTTGATGAGTTTAAGTCATTAGTTTGTATCCCGGTGATTGTGTTTGTAATCACCCAATAGAAAAATGTATCTGTAGTAGTTGATTAGTTTAAGTCATTAGTTTGTATCCCGAGGATTGTGTTTTGAAAATGTAACTGTACTTGTAATCTCCCTCACTTGATACCTTGTTAATCGATTTTGAAAGTGTAAAACCTAACCTTTGAAGACTGTATCTCGTCTTGAGACTGTCTTTCCCAACATATATATCCTACATATAATAAACGTTAAGCATCTAGCACTCTGGCTTGCATTTTTTCATTTAGCGGCACCGACATCAACATGGGCTACACTCCCATTGACGTAGAAAACCTTCCTGGCTCCCTCACGCCTCCTCCTGGTCATTACTTCTCCAGAAACTACTTTTTAGCATCAGCACCCATCAGAACTTTTACCTCCTTTGAGCAAAGATGACTTAAGAAGCCTATAAGCTTTGGTCACATTCTCAGCACTTAGAGTGTCATATGTTTTCTTTCTGATGTACAGGTATAGCCACCAGAGTGATCTCTCCCATGTTACCCAGACTCAGTTTCACAGTAGTGTTTACAATTGATTTTTGGTGCCCCCACTTATTACTTATTGAGATTTCTTCAGAAAACATTACATCCCCTAGATATGACTCCTCTCTCCTCTCTCTCTCTCTCTCTCTCTCTCTCTCTCTCTCTCTCTCT